TATAACTATATTAAATTGGCCATAAGACTAATTGCAACACTGATATTCAATTCAATGTTTATTTGGCCTGATCAATTAAAAGAAAACAAACAAACAAGAAAAAACATGAGTTGCCTGAACTGGGATTTGAACACCGGACCTCTCGCTTCTAAAGCGAACGTGTAACCCCTCGACAACGAGGAGTTTTAAGATAACAGCCTGAAGAATACCATATTATTCTTAATTAGAGTTTGTAACCCTTATTAATTTCGATATATTTTGTTCACGGCAAACCTGTTGTTTTACACTGAAGACAGTAATCATGGAGCTGAATATAAGCATGTATATCTATAAAAATAACACAATATTAGAAATCTTCGACCAATCGGGAACTTTTTTTCTCGTTACGAAAATTAATGCGCCTGTCATTTGACAATCTTTACGCAGTCACAGGGGGGAATCACGTGACTTTGTATAGTAATACCCACGAGAAAATAGTGACTGCTGAGCCCCGGTAAGTACCTTATTATGTTAAATTAAGGTGACAAACATTTGTTAAATCAAAACAAAACCTAGTGTATCATATGCGCGGTAATTTTCTTCAAATGACAATACAAAGTGCATTATCCTACGTTTTGTAGTTTTTGAGAACATTGTTTGAATTGTGTGAAAATTGCACATTCAGCGATAGTAATTCACACGAACCGATATAATTTGGTACCAAAATAAATGAAAATAAGCTTACTTTCTGCACTTAAGTCACAAGATCAATCATTTTATTGACATCTGTTATCGTAGAAGTTCATGTAAAATATATTTTTGAAGGTCTGTAGCCTACAAATGTTCTTTGCAAGTGTATAGTAAGTAAAACGAACAATTTCTGGATAGTAAGTTGCACGAAAACAAAATAGTAAGTTTCACGCACAGTTTCCATTAGCATACATATACATAATAAGAAAGTTAAAGTTCATGTGTAAAGATATAGAAAATGCTTATTTCAATTATTCAAGATCAAATATTTCACTTTTTGTCTACAGAACGAATGCTTAATTGGTTATTTTTATAATATATCAAATGAACTTTTGATGGGATTTGATATTACATGGATCAGTGTTATTTTTCTATTGCGATAGTAGTTCTTTGACCTCTGCAGTTTCAGGTGTGTCTTGGCCCTCATTTTACTGTAATTAGAAAAAAGATGAACAAACATAACTGCTTGTTATTTGGTATGGCGATGTTTATTAACTGAATGCTGATGTTTTTATATGTCGGTATTTGTTACCTTTAGTCACTATGTTACTTAATATATGAAAATATATTGAAGAATTCGCAAGAACAAAATAACTTCTTACAAAAAAAAAACAATACAAAAAAAAACAAAAACAACAAAAATCAAAAACAAAAGCAACAACAACAAAACAACAAAAAACAATGACACTGTGATTCAAGTTATGGTTAAAGGCACATTGTGCCTCAGAAATCCATATTGCTTTAATTCTTCAGAAATGTCAAACATGTGTTTGATAATGTTTAAATAATGGATAAAACGCATGATAGTATTTTATTACAACTGAAAAAGGTAGCGCTGCACATTAAGTGATGTGTCGTAAAAGTAGCAAAATGTAAAGAAAGTAGTATTTGACTTCCATACAAAATACTTATTCACTAAAGGTATACCAAATTACCAACAGAACCAAAGATGCAAAAGATAGTTTGAGAATCTAGCAAATGAGTATGTTTTCGGAAACTGTAACAAGATGCCAAAATTAAACAGTTTTTTTTTAATAAAAATGATAGCATTTCAGAGGCATAATGGACCTTTAAAGAAAAACGAATATTTTAAATCAAACGGTCAAAGATATTTACACTTTTTAAAGTGAATGCAAGTTGAGTAAAAAAAATACATTAAACAATCTTAGATGCTGGGTTTCAAATCATACCGTCAATGTCAAGACACCTGAGTTAAAGCACTGGCGTTTTGTTAGCTAGTTTGATGAAAGAATTCAAGGACGCTGGTGGGCAGTGAGAATCATGTGTATAAAAATCAGGGACTTTAACCACTCGGCCATACACACCCTGAATATCTTATTTACTTACTCTATCACAAACAAAAAGTAAGAGTATACGAGGCAACACATTTGCACATGGTAAAAAAATAAGCGAATAGTAATACATAACGTTTTAACAAAACTTCTTGGGTTTATTTATAAAATCTGCCAGTGTATAAAGAATAAATTTAATAAAAAGAACTTTGTATACCAGTTCTATGATGGCATTAAATATCAATGTGATATGGCAAATGTCTTCTCCTTTGTGTTTTTGGTCCAAATTGCAGATACTGAAAAGTAATTGTGGCGTTGTAATATTTCCTTCTGCACAGTATATATCTTTATATATCTTGTTCTACAGATAACGGATGTGGGTCCAGTCTCACGTGAAAAAGGGCCAGGTGTAACGTACATTGTTGAGTATCAATGTCAATGTCTCATTTTTTTTTTAATTAAATGAGTAATCTTTTATGAAATAATATGAATATATGAATACATGTATTATAAAATAATATGAATAATTATCAAAATACTTTCTCGATATTTGTTTCTCTGTCACCGTAGACGGAACACACACCAAAAGAATTATAAGATAGTTTCGTCACATTTTAGTAAGCTGTTGGAAACTGTGCGTGAAACTTACTATTTTGTTTTCTAGCAACTTACTATACAGAAATTGTTCGTTTTACTTACTATACACTTGCAAAGAACATTTGTAGGCTACAGACCTTCGAACAAAATTTTATATGGAATTCTACAAGAACAGATTTCAATAAAATGATTGATTTGGTGTCTTAAGATGTGAAGATTCTGTATTTATCTATTTTAAGTGCAAAAAGAAGGCTTATTTTCATTTATTTTGGTACCAAGTTATATCGCTTCGTGCGAATTACTATCGCTGGCTGTGCAATTTTCACACAATTCAAACAATGTTCTCAAAAACTACAAAACGTAGGATAATGCACATTGTATTGTCATTTGAAGAAAATTACCGCGCATATGATACCCTAGGTTTTGTTTTGATTAAAGAAACGTTTGTCACCTTAATTAAACATTATAAGGAACTTACCGGGACTCAGCAGTCGCCATTTTCTCGTGGGTATTACAAACAAAGTCACATGATCCCCCCCCCGTGGCAGTGATCTCCCCTTAATGTTTCGGCGTTAATGTACATATGAAGGGAAGTAGCCGCTTCGAGGAGTTTGGACTACTTTCGGCATTTGCAAATAAGAAGATTAGGGTCTGAAATTTCGCTACCATTATTTGTTTGGTCTGACGACCCAAAAATGATAATGCAAATGCACAAGAAAACAACTTACTTAAAGAAAAAAATAGGGCTGATGGATAGACTTGCATCAGAATTTCAGAAACTGCATGACAATTATGAAGAACTGAAACGTACACATATTTTAAAAAGCTGATAAAATACAATGATATAAAGAACGATCACATAGATGACCTTCAAAATGAAGACCACAGCTTGAGAAACATTGCCCAGCTCAAAGACAAATCGAAATAGATGTATTTCTGTCGAAGAAGAGTAACTAAAATGGGAACCAATGTCACGATCCGAAGCCGGGTTACTTATGAATTGAGAGAGGAGAATGAGAGAGGGGGCCAATTTCATCATGAAATACAGCAAGGACGTCATTGAAACTGTGTCTAGTTAACAATAAAACAGGTGATTGAGATATACGAGTATGATTAAGTGAATAGTGCTTGTGCTTTTCAGCAAAATCGGTGATTTTTATTCCTGGCCTTATTGCTACAATCATTTAAACAGTGTAATCTGATGTCAACATTTTTTGCACAACTGAAAATGTATTCTTGAAGTGAACACATCCGTTGTATACTATAACATCTTTGCCTTGTTAATAAAAGTATGTTGCTTATGTGTGTCATTAAGAAAAGATAAGATAGAGAAAATAGATTTCTGAAATGTATGTAAAAATGTGTTTCTTTACAAAATTCCGCATTCACATGATTGAGTCTGTACATAAGGGATAATTAATAAGTGCAACATCCCTCACGCACCGTAGCACCAGCTTGAGCGATACTCAATTTTTAACAGTGCTGGCATGATCTCGGAGGACCAGAAAAATACAACAACACTGAACAACAAAGTCATCGAATTATTAGATTTCAAATGATGAAAATAAAAAAGCACACAAAAAAAGGAAGAAAACTTCACCAAAATAAGTCATAATACGACACATGCTACTTGCATTTTTGTCATTTTTCCAGCAGCTCAACCAAAACTTTTGTAGAGGGGACATTTCTCTTGGCAATTAACGACAAGAGGGTCGAAATTCTTCGCGAATGTCTTATTTTTCTACAATCGACTAGAACTTAATTTTGTATCAATGATGTCCAGTCACACAAGCAAGACTACTGGACAGGCGTCTGGTAGGACAACAAACAGAAACTGGACACAAAGACACGGGGGGGGGGCACGGGGGGGGGGGGCGGAAAACAAATCAATAATACATATATACGATGGCTGCCCCACAAAGTCATGGAAAATGGCTGCTGAACAAAAATATCCCGCCCGAACTTAAAATAATTTTGCACAAGTTAATCTCCATCAATTTGAAATAAAATAAGTAAAATAAGAGAAACTAATTCAAGAAAGTAGACATACAGAAAATATGACATATGTAGAAAAAGGTAGATAGAAACCAAGGAGATTAAACTAATGGAGAAACTATATATCATTTGACTAACTTAACCATTGCCATAATAAATCAAATGTTACATGAAATTATTGAAATACAACATGGACGATTTGTATATCAATTAAAACGGTAGATACTGTAATAAGCTTTTGCGGACATCATATTAAGTACTAGTATACCCTGACATATTTCAAACGTTTCATATGTATATTTACATCATTAGTTGCATGTTGCTGTTGGTACTCTACACAAGTTCTACAAATTTACAACTACTAAATCTATTATAATAATTTTTCTTTATATAGACATACATGAGACATACATAAGACAAGTCCTTTATTATCTGTTTAGTTGTGATTTGTCAATATACTCATTAGTATAATTGCAAATATTATCCGTACTATTCTGACTTCCACACTTCCAGCGAACCCGAATAATGCTTTTTACTCTATCCCATATCTTGATTTGCCAAATGGGACATTATCCCATATTGGTCCTTTATAATTTCTTTTGTGATTCATACTTTGCGTTTTCTTGTCCGAAAACAATTGGTTACCTGTATAACTTTTGCCTAGATCTTTGTCTATCTCCACGTGGTATTTATTGGTCTTCTTCATATTGTTGTTTAAGTTGTCCCTGCTTAGAAATATATAAGTACGCATGTCATCTGTTTCGCTTCCCGATTTAGTTTTATCTTTTGGAATCTTACTATTATTATTTCTTGGTAAACCTTTATCTGTATTACGTTGATACCATTCGTCTTTCCTGTTCTGGTCTACACATGGTCTACTTCCTTGAGTTTTGCTCCCACAATTTGTAGATACATCAGTGTTACTTATAACACTACTATTACTATCATGGTCATTTCTATTATTGTCTTCCGTCATACAATGTTCGAAATTGGTCATCGTAACATTACATTGAGAAACCTCATTTTGACTTTGAAATGAGCCATTTTCTCCGCTGCCTGTAGTCATTAAATATTCTTCCTGAAGTCCATTTTCCTCTGTTTGGTAGGTGCCATTTGATACTTTTCCTTTTTGTGAATCATATTCTTTGGTATTTTTAGATAGTTCATTCTTATCGCTCAGAAGCGCGGATGTGTTTTCGTTTTCATTTGTTGATTTATCTATAGTTTTAGACAGGTTTTTTATGTCGTATAACTGTTTATTCTTGCTTTCACTGGCTTTGGACGATTCAAGATAATTAATATTTTTCGGTATTTTATTTCTGCTATCAGTGACATCTGTTACGCTATCCATGTCTGAAGATCTAGTATATGTATTAAATGATTTCTCATTTCTGTTTCTATTACCTTGTAATATTTCACCCTTGTTTGATGAATCATTTTTGTTGTAAAATGAGTCTTGTGAATTAAAGTTTCTGTTCGATTGATTAGAAGCTTTGGATTGCATTTCATTGTTTCTGCCCATTTGCCGATCAGTTAATTCTTTAACTGTAATCTTTGTAATTTTTTGCAGATTTTCTTGACTATTTCCTCTTGTAAAATTCTTGCCTTTCGGTAAGTCAGTTGGGACTGGAATATCTTCATGTTTAATGTACTGAGATTTGCAGTTTTTATTTTTGCAGTTTTTTCTTCCACTTTGTAAAATGTCTGTTTTATTCTGTGTAAGATAATCTCTTTCTATGACCATGTTCTGTATAATATCAGACACTTGGTCTGTGAGTTTGGGCATATTGTTGCTTTCGTTCAGCACTTCATTATTTTCTACTGTCGTTATTGCAGCAACCTCTGAAATATTTTTGTACTCCTGCATAACGTTTTCGTCGATGGTCGTTTGATAGTTGTCTATTATGAACATTAGTTGCCTGATTATCGTTCTTTTCTTGTCTTCTTCAGTATTTTGAGAATAATCTACAGCTGCGTCTTGAATAATGGAATTGCCACGTTTGCTCAAATCTTCTAATTCTTTGCTCAAATCTTCATTGTCCACGTTAATTACACTAACATGCTCAATTCTTTTGCTATCAGTTCGATTTTCGGCATATGTCAGTTGCTCAGCATTGATATACCGCGCTGACGCACAGCTTGTGATCATCAACAAAAGCACAGTAATGTCTGGAAAAAAATGAAGAAAATAACAAAAAATACACATCTTTTCGATCTTTTATAGAGATTAATAAATTTATAGATTACCCAGTAGGCTACGTTAAAGGGACTCCACTGAGGTTTATAAGCCTAAAAACATAATTATTCTGGAGAAACGGAGTGAGCTAATGACCTGAAAATTTGCACACAAGATATTAGTATAGATCTACCTCAAATGGAGTAATAATCTCAAAAAAAAATATTTCCAGTCCCGTCATGTCAAAAAACCTCAGTGGAGTCCCTTTAAAATTGTAAATGCTGCCTTTAATTAGAGTGTTCGTTTGCGATGTTCATGTACTAGGAGTCCCTAATGCAATTCGCTTCATCTCTCATTTAAAAGGAGTCAATATTTAAAGGTTTTTTTAAAGATAATATTCGAAAGCAAAGCACAAAAATAGTGTATTTAAATCACTCAGATATCGTATCTTAAATGGCAAGCAAAACATAAATATAACCAATCTCATTATGAATAAACGGATCTTTCATAAATTACTTCATACAGTACATAATCGAAATGAAATGAGAGTAGGAAAAGAACCATACCTTTCAAAAATTAAATTAAAAATCATTTGTTTGGGTACTTTAATGATGATCACTATTAAACAGACTGTTTTGTCATTCATCTAAAATAAGTGGATCAGAATGCTACTGCAGTAAGCAGTCAGAGTATTTTTTTTTCAACAGTAAAAAATGTATTGAATATTATGAAGAAATGAAAAGGTTTACAAATCAAAGCACAGAAGGCGCTGAATTTGTTTGGGTCTCAGAATGTCAGAAAGGTGAAGGTTTTAATATTATAAACCAATTTGTTTTTGTATAGTGCTACCAATGCTTTCCAGCGTTTTAATTGTAGTAAATTGGCTTTAACACTAATTGCAAAACTGATATTCTATTCAATATTTATTTGACTTAAACAATTTGAAAAAAAAAATGAGTTGCCTTAACTGGGATTTGAACTCCAGTCCTTCCTAAGCGACCGCGCAAACCCCTCGGCCACGGTGAAGTGCTATGTTAATGTCCTGAAGTTTATAACGACACTAACTTTGTTTAACACAGATGTAAATAATCATGGAGCTTACTATAAGCATGTATATCTATAAAGAATAAAACAATATTATAAATATTCGACCATTCGAAAACCTTTTTGCTTGAAAATTAATCCGCCTGTCATTTGACCATTTACGCAGCGATCTCCCCTGAATTTTTCTGACGACCCAAACAAATTAAAAACACATATTTTCCAAAATAAACAAACACAACGCGAATTCTCTTATGTGACCAACAAACACTTCCATAACGTAATCGTTTTATTTATGATTTAATATGTATGTATGTTAGATGAAATATAAGACATATACCGCTAACGTAATCCTATTTGTTTGTAATATCCGTGCATAAAAAATAGTTACGAATTGGCGTAGTGAAATAATCCAGCGTTTTCTGAACAATAAAATTTTTAAATAATGTACACATAACACTTACTTAATATGATCTTCATCGCAAAACAATTCTGTCGTTACAGCAACTCCTACTATTACTAAATACCATTTGTTAGTTGTTATTCATCATTGATAACTTATTCTTAACTGAAGTTTCACGGAAATTTCCGAGTGAGTGCTATTGCATGAAGACGCGTAATTTAACAACTTATAAGTGTTAATTCATTCTTGGAAATACCATGACATTTATAACTGTATCATAAAAGAAACCTAATAATGCCAAGAAAGCACGTTTGTTCTTTAATATGAGAGTGCTAATTACATTGATATTTCGATATTTCCTTACATAATCATTTCAATGAAACAATAAAAGGAATAAAAATGTTTCGGTAGCGTTCATATGTACATAGATAATATCACTCCATATTGTATATTGTTAACAATAATTCTTAAGACCATGTTACAAAATATCATAAAACAGCTAAATACAAAAAGAAATCAATGGGTTAAGACTTTTGAAAAAGTACCTGTAGGCCGAAAAACTGCAAAGAATAAAGGCACTTATAACAATCAGAATACATGTATTGAATTAAATGAAATTAAGAAATACTTGTCAGTAAATAAACAGTTTCTTATCTTTCTTTGATTAATATGTCTGTCTGATGTCAGCTTTAAGTGTTAAAATTTAAATATAAGAAGGGTCAAACTAATTTTATTTTCGACTATTGTTCATAATTGCAGATGCTGTAACTGTAAACAACGGATGCATTGGCTAGAGGATTTGCTGATCTGATTGCCACAGTATGTCTTAAATGCATGTATATGTCTTCAGGCCACGGCTTAGATGGTTAAAATGCAAATAACTGTTTACTTCAGAGCGATAGCTTAGCTCTTAATTTACTGTTTCTTCTTTTTTGTCCCGGCATATGATTTGGTTTGACTGGGTAATCGATAACCAAGGTTTTGCTTCCCCATAAGAAAAAATTGATAATAAAAGTTTGCAATGTTTTCCTACTTCTCTCTTCTTTTCTTCCTGTATACATTCGACCCGCATTCAAAAACATGATTTTACAGGGATTTTTTTATGAATTAGTCCGCTTTGGTCACTGCGTGAACTTATACCGTGCTACATTCTTAGACACATCGCTCTAAACTACTGAGTTTGTTGCAACAAGAATGTTTACGGATGGACTTAAGACGAAACAAAGTGCACATAAAACACCATTAACTAACGGTCCTAATAAAGTGGATTTGTACTTGCATTATACTGGCTAAATGATGATCAAAGCTTAACTGACTTAATTAGAAACGGAACGTTTACACTACAGAAATATTCACCATACAAAAATCTAAATCTAATATGGCACTGGCAGATGTCATCATTGACCTATTTTTTTTAATTTATTTAGACGCTTCCATTCAAGACTTTCTTCACTTCAAACAGTCTCTGGAATCCCGCACCGTATATCTTAAATTCACTGATTACTACAGGTAGGTTATAGACTGGGTTGGTATATTTATATCATTTATATATTACGCAAATAAGGACAATTTGATTTTTGATTGCTAAAGACTTACTGTTCATTGACTCGTTTCCACATTTCCTTAAATGTTTTAAAAGGGTTAAAAATGTCAGCTTTGTTAACTTTTTTTACAATATAGCCTAATGTGACGTCACATGGTGCTATTTAGATCTATCATCCTGAAAATAAATATAACCCGGCCAATATTTTTTGTTGCAATATTCCCAAGGGGCGAGTAATCTATATAGACTTAAGAAAACGTAATGTTCTAGTTGTCTCCCTTGATAAAATACTAGTGAAAATCACATAATAAAATTCCTGCCTCGGTTTAGTTTCGTTCGCGGGTTGCTAATATTTACAATTACCTTGTTGTTTTAATAATGGTCACACTTTATTTACACAACACAATTAAAAGAACGAAATTTATGTTGTTTTGCTAAAATATGATGTTTTAAAAACCTAATTCATTGAATAGATCTAGTATAAGATCTAGATCTATATGGATTGAATTAAAAGATCAACTTTCATTTGTTGTTTTACTAAAAATAATGTAGCCCTAGATGATGATCTATATGTAATTCCGTCATTTATATTTTAGTCTTTTTTTTCTTTGTTGTCGCACTTTTTAGATATAATTCTTTCTCCTTGTCATTTGTAAAATACTCAGCGGTAAATTCGAGACACATATACATTGTAGAAAAGGACCATGATGAATATGAGCATAGGTTTTAAATGTTTAGATCTCATTGGTAGCTAAACTAGCTTATTGCAGAAGCTGAGATTTATAGCCTAATGTAGATCTAACTTTTTAGTGTATCTTTCTGTCCCAGGCAGAAGTGAAATTTCATTGTCAGTTCACATTTAGGAAGTTTTAAAGGGTCCAAATTCTTTTTGCAATAACGATTTTCCTCAATATCCGAACTTTTCGATTGTCCTGATAGGCCTAATGCTATTAGTGCTAACTTTTTCACTGATGTTTTTGCACGTGCCGCGGTTGAAACGTTGAAAACAGGAAGTTTTAACTTATGCGTTTTGTTTAAACAAAATTAAATTAAATAAAAAAGAAGAATCCGGAAAACACAATATCCTGGATAAGACTCATCCGCTCTAGATAATATAGACTCTATAGATCTAGAACAAAAATTACAAAACTAGATCTAGTTGATTATTAAATTCGTGCATGGTTAGATCTACTCTTGCGAAAGGGACTAATTAATGCATTATATAGATCTAGCTCTAGAAAGATAGATTATAGTGTAGAAAATATTTATAATTAGAGTGAACTGTTTCATCAAGTGAAACAATATCACTGTGACTAGATTAATGACAAAATACGGATATGAAACCGGACTTTGAATTACGCGGAACGCTTGAACCGGAAGTTACGCCCTCTCGTGGATTGTGCCACCTATGTAAACAAGAAAAGAGAAAGTTTCAACAACATTGATTTTCGCTGTTGCGAATGAATACGCTGTGTTTCCAAGGAAGCTGGTCATAAACAAGTAAGATAACTAAGAATAAGATGCGCGCCATGTTTAAACAAGTTTTTCTATGTAAATATTCAGTTATTAATGTAAGTTCCGTTTGACGTGTAAATACGAGGTGTAGTGTATTCGGATGTGACATTACTGTGGATACTACATGTATTACAAGATACAAGAAACTTTATATTAAGTCGGTTTACATATTACAGGAAACATTACCTTATAAGTTAGCTTATAAGTTATTTACCGACAATTACAAAGACATAAAACATATTTACTAACATATAACATCTGAAAGTAAAAAAAACATTTAAAACTACTTTAGGCATGAAATAAAAGTAGCAAGATTAAGAAGAACTATACAATAAGATGACAAATTAAAGCAAAGTATGATGACATGCACAGTACATATTGTATTAAAGGTACTATAACAGTTTAAAAAATAATGAGTGACTGTAGTATACTATTCACGAATTCGAAAACCTAGCTAAACGCCGTTTTCCGGTACTTTCTGTACATAGCTCTGGGGAATTCACCTAATAGAGTGTAATAGCGAACTCGATGTTTTCGGCCTTTTTTAAAATTAAATTGAAATAAAACAGTTATTTCTTTATAAGAAAATAATTAAATATCATTGTATGAATAATTCCATACAAAAAATAAAGTAAATACACAAGTTTACGCCGAAAATAACCTTATTTATTATGGAAGATTCCACTACGTCGGTTTAAATTTTATTGATTTTCATTTTAAACAACTTATTTTTTTGAAAAATTTGCAATAGATATTAAAGGAATATTGATAATTTTCAATAACATCAATTCTTTTCACCTTAAACGGTAAAATAATGAAAGAAAAATAGAAATATCATGTAACTGTGTTATGTTCTTCATTTGGTGTAATTCCCCAGAGCTAAATCGGTAACGTACCGGAAAACGGTGTTTAGCTAGGTTTTCGAAAAGGTCAATAGAATGAGTTGACAATTTAAGTATGATACATGTAGCAATTTGAAATAAATAAAAATAATTATAATAAAAATTAATTAAATTAGCAATAGTTTACATCTAGAATTTATACATGTACATACTTAAAGATTTACTAAAAAAAAAAAAATAAATTGACTTACTTACAATAAAAATGTACATAAAAATTTATGATAGAACTAAAACAGCATAAAAAAAGAAAAAGATAAAGCACATACAGGGTAACAAACAAAGTTATCTAAAATTAAGTTGCATGCACAGCCTAATGGAAGGGAAAATAAGGAGTTTTAATTAGAAACATACAAATCAGACAGCTTAGACAGAGCTCCAGATAGCATGCGTATAAGCGTAAAATACGCATAGAAAATCTAAAATACGCATCACTTTCAAAATTTGTGCACAACAAAATGAAAATACGCTTGTATGTCAAAATTTAAGCGTAATAGAATAGAACTGTAAACATTTGATATTCAGGTAGAGGATGTTTTGAGCATTAAAATACAATATATTTCCATTTTATTGCATTGAAAACTAAAAGTTCTGTTGTCAACAATGCATGTTAAAAACGAAAGTAGCAGGGAGTACAGAAGGGAGGTAACTCCCGTAGATCAACCTGTGAAATTATTGATATAAATTTTTGCCAGATAATTATCGTAGGAGTTAACATAGTATTAAGTTTGTTTAGGCATCTATTGACATGCTTATGTATTAACAAAAATATGTTTTAATTTCTTTCACTTTTGTTGTTGGAACAAAATAACATGTTTTTCACCTGCAGTTTTGTACTCAATATTTTCGCACCCAGTCTACAGTTACTGACAATTTTCTCTCAGACCAATACTTTTTTTAAGGAAAGATAAAAAATCTTGTTTAGTTTTCTTTAATTCTAATTTCAACTATAATTGTTTAGACTGGAGCACATGATAAGGTACATGCCAACAGAAATAAAGAAAGAAAAATATTGACTCCTAGAAAATATTTTAATTTCAGGGCTTCCACTAGTGGAAGTTTGGGAGTCATTTACTCCTTCATTTTGGCATGTGACTTCCAAAAATCTAATACATTTCCTTCTTTATGTGACTTCCAATATCAGAGATTTTTAAGTCTTTGACTTCCAAATTTTGAAAATGGAAGCCCTGATAATTTTGATGTGTATCCTAAACTTGAGTTCCAGTATACTCTGGAAGTCTGACTTTACAGGGCACGTTTTGTATTGCTTCACATTGAATCAGTATTTTATTTTTTAAAGGTTTTTCTAAAAAAAAAGAAAATAAACAAACAAACAAACAAAAACAATAAGTTTAATTTGTTTATAAAAAATGAAAAATGCTTTTTTCCCTTAAGTTTTTCAGATTTTACATTTTACCCCTCACTCTAAATTTTGAGGGGTAAAAACCCCTTGGCCAAAAAAATTATCTGGAGCTGAGACTGCTTAGATACAACTAGCATAGCATACAGCATATAATCAAAGCATCATTGCAAACTAAAAAGGGATGCACAAAAACAAAGCAAACAAACAATCATGCAGTCTAAGCATTTTACATAAATAAAAACTAAGCAAATTAACAAATACATTGCAAATTTACAGACACATAGCACATTTACAACTTGGGCCACTTAGTATTATTGTATTACCGAAATATTAGTCAACAGTTAGCATTAATTTATTTTGTCATGATAATGTTAAACGAAAGATTTTCTTATCCTGCAGGATTGTACAGCGTTATCATGATATAAAATCAAAACAAATAACAAATGCATCCATGGTTGTTTTGGCTATCCATTAAATTAGAGTACAATCAGGAATATCTCTAGAAAGCTTATTCTGTACTTGTTAATATGAAAAAGGCAAAGCCTCAAAGCGAGCTCGATTTTCTTTTACCATAAGATAGTTAAAACAATCGTTCATTTTTAGCTCGACTATTCGAAGAATATGAGAGCTATTGTAGTCGCGTCGGCGTCGGTGTCGGCGTCAGCGTCCGCGTCGGCGTCTGCGTTGGTTAAAGTTTTTTGTAAATTCAAATATCTCAATTATTGCTTGAGATATTCAATTGAAACTTACAATACTTATTTATAGTAACAATGTACATCAGATTGACAAGTTGGATAACTCTGCCTACAATATTGACAGAATTATGCCCCTTTTTAACTTAGAAATTTTGGTTAAAGTTTTTTGTAAAGTCAAATATCTCAATTATTTCTTGAGATTTTCAATTGAAACTTACAATAGTTATTTACAGTAACAATGTACATCAGATCGACAAGTTGGATAACTCTGCCTATAATATTTACAGAATTATGCCCCTTTATAACTAAGAAATTTTGGTTAAAGTTTTTTTGTAAAGTCAAATATCTCAATTATTGCTTGAGATATTCCATTGAAATTTAAAATTCTTTTTTATAGTAACAATGTACATCAGTTTGCAAAATTGCATAACTCTGCCTGCAATATTTGTAGAATTATTTGCCCCTTTGAAACTTAGAAATTTTGGTTAAAAGTTAAAGGTCTTCAAAGATATTTACTTGAAACTTTACACATGTACTTAGGGTCATAATTGGAGAGTCATAATTGTATGTCACTGACCAAGTTCCATAACTCTACTCGCATTTAGGCTGATTCATCTCCCCTTTTCTACTTAGTCTCTTGGTTAATGTTTACATGCAAGTTTTACATATCTCAATAACTATTAAAGATATTTATTTAAAACTTCCCTTATGCATTTAGAATCATAATTGTAGGTCATTGACCAAGATCCATAATTCTATCTTGCATTTAGGCTGATTTTTTTCCCCTTTTTCAACTTAGAAATTCATGGTAAAGTTTTGCTTGTAAGCTGTTATCTCCATAACTACTGAAGAGTTTATGCCTTTTTTTTGGACATTTTTATGCATTCGTAATAATAAAGCAGTGATTTACTTGATAAAACATCTTAATAACAAGCCTTTGTACCTTTTCGGTCAATTTTATGTATTCATAGGTAAATAGCATTATTATTCTCAATAAAACACCCTTGTGACAATTTTTGAATAGTCGAGCCAATACTGTCCTCCGACAGTTCTTGTTATTTTACATTTTCCGTTTTAAAATTGTCATTTGGTATTTTATACACTGCTTCCGTTTATTCTGGTTCCCCCTTTCTATTATGGTTCCTATATAAGTGCCAAGGACACCAGTCTACGCTTCCGTTTTCAATCAGAGTACAGCGGCTTTTATCGTTATCTTGTAATTCGAAAAGTTGCGATGTGTCCAATTCGGTACTTCGGACGAAAGTTTTCAAAACCATCACTTAGCATGTATTAGTGTTACCGTAAAGCTCGCTTTGTGAGAGAGCCCTTCGGGCCAGCTCGTCGAGCTCGCTCTTATTATATATAACTGTCTAAAATAATATGAATTAGGTGCAACCAAAATGGATATTTAAAAAGTAATCATCATTACTTTTGTTCATGTCAATTATAACAATAGTATTTTTAGCTCGACTATTTGCAGAATAATAGAGCTAATGCAGTCACCCATTTGTCGGCGTCGGGTGTTGGCGTCGGCATCCCTGTGGTTAAGTTTTTGCGTGTAAGCTGGTATCTCCATAACTACTGAAGGGAATGGATTGAGACCTTACACTTGTTCTCTGTGATTACGTTACATGATTGACACAGGTCCCATAACTCTGATTGCTTTTTTGGCATAATTATGCCCCTTTTTCGACTTTTTGGTTAAGTTTTTGCGTGCAAGCTGGTATCTCCATAACTACCAGGGCTCGAATTTAACTTTTTTGGCCACTAGCAATTTTTTGCTAGTGGACAAATTTTTAACTAGCAAAAACTGAATTCAACTAGCACTTTTTACGACAATGATTTTTTAATTCCAAAATTGTTTAAACTTTTGTGTACATTCATTAATTGTTTAAATTATCATGTACCATAATAAGTTACAATTATGTTTCATAATAATGAATTTTATTTAAAAATTTTTTATTAACTACATTAACAAAATTAAAATTGTAATTTATTTGGACGAGTTCGAACTGCCCAGGGTACGAA